TATTATAATGTTATAAATATATCTATAATAAATTGTGAAATGTTCATTGCTTAGATAAAAATAATATAATAAATAATAATCAATTGAAAATAATAAAATGGTTAAAGTATAGGTATTTACTTACGTTAAATCAATCTTAAGTGTATCTTTTTCTAAAAAAAAAAAATACATTTTTATTAGAATATAAATTAAAACAACGTTTATTTAAAATACATTAGTTAAGGTATATCTATACCTATTTATATATTTTATATTTTGACAACCTATGCATTTTAGAGCTATAATTAATATCACACAATATTCTATTAATCATCTTGTACAAAAAAACAAGGGTGTATTTAAGGGGACAAATGGGACCCGTGCCCCTCGTCCGCATTCACCATATTTTATAATTTTTTATTACTTACGAGTATTGATCTCTCYCWCTAATTAAATGTTATATGTTTATATAAAACATTTATATTTTGGTTATTTGATTATAAATTATGACATTATCATAAGTATGTGTAATTTTAATTTTCAGTTTATGCCCCTCCTCCCCCTATAAGACATTTCTAAATACACCTATGGAGAAAGAAAATTGACGGAATTTGAATAAGGGGAATTTTCAAAACTTAGTAATTTGTATAAGATATTTCAGAAAATGTCWTCAAAATTCAATCATTTTGTTGTAAACCGAGTAAACTGACTTAAACAAAACAATTATCAAGACAAGAAATAATAAAATAAATATAACTTTAAGATAGTCAAATCAAGTGTAATGTAAATAAATTATCAACCTGTAATGTAAACTGCTATCATATTATGAAACGTGATTGAAAAGTCGATTATAATTTATAATATTTTCATACCTGCGAACTCAAATGACTATAAATTATACATGTAACTATATGTAAGTACACTTTACAAAAATATTATGTTTTCAAACATTATGGTTTATCGATATTATTATAAGGTGAAATAATAAACTTTAAGTTTTGAAAGTCGAAAAAAATATAGTTTTGATCTCATTTTTAAGAGACTACATCTGTGAAATATGTTTGAAGTAATTGTGTATTTGTGTAGTTATGATTTTGTTTTTGAGGGGGAGGGGGGATATTTTTTTAAATTAACTTCAGGTGAGATATTTTGTTAAACTATACCATAAAGAAGTGTATTTTTTTTAGTATAACACTATACACAGACACACAGTAAAATAATTTATATTGAATATTTTAACTGTTTAATAACACATTGTTTTAATCTATAATACA